TGAGGTACGCGGCAGAAACAAGATCTGACAGAGAGGACAAAAAAATGCCAGAAACTGCAGGAATGATAACCTTTAGCAAAATGGAAGGGACAGTGCTAGAAGTACGTATATACGACGGATATGTAAGGTGGAGAACATCATGGACGGTCTAAGAAATAGAAGAGTGGAATCGAACAAGCCGAACGACAGCAAATATAATAGTAAAATACTTACTGGAAAACAGACGTTTTTTAGTTATGCTGAGGGTTAAGTAAGTAGGTGGAGAGTTAAAAAAACCGCCTCCCACAGGGAAGTGTTTTAGCATCAATGCTCTTCAATATAAACACAAACAACCAACCTACGCCGACCGAAACCAAGCACTTTCTCTATGCTGATGATCTTGCAATATGTGCTCAAGGAAATAGTTTTGAAGAAATGGAAGAGAAACTCGAAACTGCCTTAAAAACAATGACAGCGTACTACCTGCAAAATTTCCTGGGACCCAATCCCTCTAAACCCCAAGTCTGCGCTTTCCACCTTCGCGCCAAAGAATCCAAGCGAAAACTCCAAATTGCGTGGAATGGTAATACATTAGAACACACAAACCAACCTATATATCTTGCAGTAAACTCTGGACTCTCACCTATGGCCAAGGAAAATGGCGAAAAATGGAAAATGGTGAACTGTGACTGGAAAAACACAGAATATGGAACATCTTACATCTAGAAACTGTCCTCATCGATGTACCCTCGAAGATTTGTTGCTTGCAAACAAAGATGGAACCGACGTAGCCCGATATTGGGCCGAAATTTTATGAATGACATGTCCGGACACGAGAATGTAAAGTAAGTAAGTTCAATGGAAATATCCACTCTAGTATCTAGATCAGACGTTCTGCTTTCTTCGCTTTTTATAAGTTCTGCTTTCTTCGCTTTTTATAAGTTCTGCTTTCTTCGTTTCTTCTTATGGTATGTGCAATGCAATTTTTCCATGAGTCTGGCGTGACGTTTTCTATAGCAGTAGCTAGCAGACCGTTAACGTCATCTATTTTAAAAGTTAAGTTTTCCTCGCTACTGGATTTTTTATTTGAGCCTATATAAGTTCGATAGGGTTGAGTTCCCAAGGTAGGTGGCGCAGAACAATTAATCTTCTCACGAGCCATTTCGTCGACTATGTATTTCTTGTATTCGGGTGTATATTTCCTTACAAGATTTGATAATTCTTCTTTCAACATATTGTTATCGAATGATAATATCATCGAATCGAATGTCATATTTCTTTGAGAGAGCCAGTCAGCTTTCCACCAGGTAGTTGTTCCAACTTCAATTGTGGACTATGGCAAGATGCATTGTCCATAATGACGATAGAATTTGGTTTAAGTTTTCAACGACTTTATTAAATCTTTGACAACCAACCTTCAAATTGGTTTTCTTGTATTCGAAGCAACATTCGACAACAAGCTGTTGTCCAAAAACCCGAATCACTGCCTATGTGTTTTAAAAAATATCTCCATCATTTGCCCGCTGGTGTTTTTAGACACGATGATATCCCTTTAATAAAAGCTTGCCGAAAATTTCTAACTTACAAATATTGCCACGCCTTTGAGACAGATGGCCTTGATTTAGCCAAGTTTCGTCTAAATCGTATATTTTCCTTCTTTCACGACGATAGTCTTGGATTTTTTCCAGGTAATGTCTCCGCCACAAAATAATATCTTCTTTTTCTATAAGAATACTATTCCTACTTCTTTTCATATATTGAATGTTCATTTATCTTGATGTTCGCAATAATATGTCGTGATATTTTAGGTATCCAATCGTCAGAATCTAGTTCGGCTGCGACTTTCTTTAAGATGTAATTTCATTTCGAAAAAAGAAAGCATGGAGTTTTTTCCGAATAGCATACTTAATATCCTCTTCAAGCTGAATACGTTTTCTTTCTCTGGTTTGCATTTTTTCAACAAAAGTATCCGACTTAACTTATTTTCATTCCTTTTACGGAGTTTACGGAAATGATTCGTATAAAACTAATTCTAACTACAATACACATGTAGAAATACGCCTCTTACACGTCTTCATGTAAATTTAATTTTGAGAAATTTAATTATTTTATTTAATTTGAGCATACTTTATCGATATAAAGAAAGATAAACACACGAAACAAGACAGAATTAATGTTGATAATCTGCGCATTGAAACCGTTGCGAGAGAGTATAGGAGACAAATGGACGAGGAAACGGAGAGCCTGGAGGTGGGGGAAAATGTAGAGGAACTGTGGACAAAATGTAAAAACATAATAACTGAGAAAGCAACAAAAATATTGGGGAAACCAAACCAGTTAAAGAAAACGAATGGTTTGACAAGGAGTGCCAAGAAGCAACAGATAACAAAAACAGGGCATACCTAAAGACAAATCAAGCTGGATGCACAAGAAGAGCAAAGGAAGAATACCGGACACTAAGAAGAGAAGAAAAACGATTACATAGAAGAAAAAAAAGACAATTTGAGCAAAAGCAATTGGAAAGCACAGAATGGCTAAGAAATCAAAATTAAACTCGAAAGTTCTACAGAAATCTAAACAAAATGCGCAAAGAGTTTAAGCCAAGAATAAGGAGCTGTAAGGATGTAGAAGGAAACATCCTAAATGATACGGCCTCAATCCTAAACAGATGGGTTGAATTTTTCGATGCAAAATTTAATGGCCATCATATCGAAGAAGCAGATAACATCCTAGCAAATCGAAATGATTGGAATCCTTTCAACCCAAACGAAAGACCACCTACCATCGAAAACGTTGCCCAAGCCATTAAAAAGCTTAAAAATAATAAATCACCAGGAGTTGATTACATTTGCAGTGAGCTCTACAAGAATGGTGCCGATGCCCTACTAGAGACACTGCATAAGCTTTTACTTCTTGTTTGGCATAATGAGACCATGCCTTGTGAATGGTCTCAAGGCGTGATATGCCCGTTACGTAAAAAAGGTGACCAGCTCCAGTGTGACAACTATAGAGGTATAACCCTGTTAATTAACTGCATACAAAATACTAGCAAATATTCTCTACGAAAGGTTGCAAGTTTACACAGTGGGCATAGTTGGTAAATATCAAGTTGGATTCACTCCAGAAAAATCAACAATTGACCAGATTCATTCAATAAGACCGATTCTCGAGAAAACATTAGAATTCAATATTGAAACCCATCACCTATTCGTCGACTTCAAGGCTGCATACGACAGTGTCAAGAGAACAGTGCTATACCAATCAATGCATGAGTTTGGTATACCAGAGAAACTTCCGACTAAACGAGAATGACAATGTCTAACTTAGAAGCCACTGCTAGAATACAGGGAGAAAGTTCTAGATCCTTTGAGATAAAGGATGGACTCAGACAAGGAGATGCTCTGGCTTGCCTCCTATTTAATATTGCCTTAGAAAAGGCAGTCTGAGATACACGAATTAGGGATGTCGGTACTATTTACAATAGATCGATACAAGTCTTAGCATATGCTGATGACATTGACATAGTAGGGCGTAGCAAGCGAGATGTTGAGCAATATCTCCTAGAATTGGAAACAGCGGCGAAACAGGTCGGTCTAGTCATCAACGAAGACAAAACCAAGTACATGTTGGTTACAAAGGATCCGATAGCAAATGAGGAGCGAGAAACAGTCTTTGGAAGTCATACCTTTGGACGTGTTGACAACTTCACATACCTTGGGTCGCTATTGACTGCTACCAATAAAAACAAGCGAAGAAATCAAAAGACGAATAAATCTTACAAATAGGGCATACTATGGACTCCAAAAGCATTTCCACTCAAGAAACATTCAAAGAAGAACTAAAATTATTATATACAAAACATTGCTGAGGCCGGTCCTCACATATGGAGCAGAAACATGGACTCTAACGCAGGAAGGTGAAAGACTTTTGGGAATATTTGAGCGTAAAATACTCCGCAAAATATTTGGACCTGTAAACGACCAAGGGCAGTGGCGCAGAAGATATAATTTTGAATTGTATCAGCTCTTTGATGAGCTAGATGTCATAACGTTCATTAAAACACAGCGACTTAGATGGGCTGGACACATAATACGAATGCCAGAAAATACCATTGCTAAAAAGCTAACCACAGGAACACCTGTAGGAAAAAGAAGCAAAGGCCGACCGCGAATTAGGTGGTTAGATGGAGTAGAAACCGACTTACGAATATTAAAAATCAGAAGATGGCAACATGTTGCCAAAAACCGAACAGAATGGCGACGAATCTTAGAGCAGGCCAAGATCCACAGAGGATTGTCGAGCCAAAGATGATGATGATACTTTATCGATATTTTGCATTTTTATTAGTCCATATAATCCGATGTCTAAATTATTTAGTTGCATTATGGCCGATCCCTTCCACACATTTCATTACATATAATTACATTACATATAATTACATATAATTAGTAAAAATTCTACAATACAAGTAGTGCTACCTCCTCTCTCTCTCTCTCTCTCTCTCTCTCTCTCTCTCTCTCTCTCTCTCTCTCTCTCTCTCTCTCTCTCTCTCTCTCTCTCTCAAAAAAAATTTTTGTACGCTACAGGAAGATCAAGAAGACTTATTTTTGATACTCAACAACGATATAATCGTAATTGCATGTAATATCCCAGGATGTCGATTTGTTACAGGTTTTTAAATAAAAAAGAGTGATAGATTAGGACATATTTATTAGAAATTTTTAAAATATTTATATATGTAGTTCTATATACAAGGAACTCTGAAATTCTTCCATTTAGTATTCATAAAATCTATATATACTTCTTAGTTAAAATATATACTGTTAAGGGTTAATTCAATCAAGGAAGGCAAGTTTCGATTTAACTTTTAGTCAAATTATTAGATAATAGATAAGTGAATCATCAGACTTTGTTTTTCTATAAACTTTAAATAAAAATTGCATATTTCATAGAAATGCACTGTACAGAATGACACTTTTTTGATATGCTGAATTATACATTATTGTTCAATAGATATTTTCTTAAATATTCCACAGTAAAAGATGGTTCGTAGAATCTTCCCTTCCGGCTACCTCTGACATATTAGATGTCCTAAAATCTTCGTACCCATCGCCACCAGATATCACCAAAAACTTCGCACTGGATCGCGTCTCCTGTTTTGATTTATACGAAATTCTATGAGATAATTCATTGGCTGGCATTTCTACCGACGTCAAGAATCTTACGTGGCCAGTATGACCGTGAGGCACTCCATTAACTGTAGGTACTGTAGTAAGTTTGGTCGTTGTCGAAGAAATGTGAGGAAGAGGCATGGTTAGCAGTACTCCAGCTGAAGTACCAATCCACAAGAGATCTTTACATGCTACCAAAGCTGTTACTCGTAGGCAAGCTGCTTTGTGTTGTCGAATTATATCGTCGCAACCTGGAATATAGGAAAAAAATAATTTTTTCTGGTAATGTCCACAACATATTTAAAATCATATTTTAATATTTACTTAGACTATCAGGGAAATTTCAGAAAATGTTGGTGCAAGTATAGAATCTGTGCATAGTATCGTATACAAGCTGGGTTATAGAAAAGTTTGTGCGCAATTGGTATCTAGCCTTTTTGTAAGATGACCAAAAAAATTTGGGTTTATCTTTGCGAATTGGGTTTATCTTTGTAACGTCCCACGGAATTCAGCAAAACAGTAATTACTTTCTTTCGTCAATAACTGCAAATTAGTTCCCTCACCAAAAAAGTTCAAAATTCTGCAGATAATTCTTCAGATAATTCTGCAGGAAAGATCATGTTAACATTGTTTTCGACCATCAAGGATCCTTGCTCGTAGAGTTTACAGAACCTAGAGTGTACATCAACGTAAATCTGTATAAACTTTGAACAAGCCCTATCAAGCAATAGGTCGAAAACGTCTAGGGAAGCTCTAACGTGGTGTCATTATTCTGCTCGACAATGTTCGGCCTCATGTTGCCAAAGTAGTTACAGAAAATCTACAGCGAAAAAGATGGAAGATAATAGAGCATCCACCCTATAGTTTCGATTTATCGCCTTGTGATGTTCACATTTTTAGGCCACTCAAAAAGGTGTTAAAAGGTAATCGTTTTCAGTCTGTCGAAGAAGAACAAAATGCCGTAAAAGAATTTTTCGAGCACCAGCCACCATAATTCTTTAAACAGGATATACATCGGTCGGTACGATATGTCACTTAAATATAGTGGTAACTAATGATGTTTGGAGATATTTGCCAATACATTTTTTTCTGAACGAAAGATGGGTTTCAACTTCTAATATAAATAGTAAATAATGTATTTTACATGTTCGAAATAAATAAATGGGAGCCTTCGGCATCCAAAGCAGATTAAAGTGAAGCCAATATGACGCACAATCCTAGGTCATGAAAGAGGGAATGAGGTTGGTGACTAAAAAATCAAAAACCTTGGTTAAATGAGTAAAACTTTTCATTTATATGGCTTAGAATGTGGTTGTGAAGTGTAAAAAAATAAAAACGGAATATGGACTGATCGAGATATCATCAGTCCAAATCTCTTTAATATGAGATCAAATGAAACCAATATTAGCTATAAAATGGAAAACTGAGCTTTTTTCATCATCCGCATAGCAGAGTGTACTCTGCTATGCGGATGATGCAGTAATCATGGCACAAAATAAAGATGACGCCTACTTTACCGGTTCAACCTAACAGTATAAAAGCTGCATGCTAATATCCCACGAAAAGATCCAGTCGATGGTTATAACCAAGAACTCTATTAGATGTAAACTAATGTTGATTGTTGATTGTACAAATTGCAGATATAACTGCTCATTAAATTTTAATGAAAACGATAGGAAAACATTGTGTCAATCATATTGATCTTTCAAAGACTTTAAGAGGCAAAACAATTTTATAATAAAAAATGTTACACCAGTTAATCTAAAACGTTTAAAAAATAATGTTAACAACAAAACGTCTTCAAGATTGTACTCCCTTGAAAGTCTGTTGGAACGGCACAGAGTATGTGCCAAGTTTTTTGAGAAAAATCTTTGCATTTATAATGGTCCCATAAACACGGTCTTATAAGGAATCAATTCAGCAAGTTGTTTTTTCAGTGAAGATAAAAGGAGTCGCAAAATCCCTGCAAACGCTACTAATGAAGAATATATCCAGTTGGTAAAGAAACATATTGAGTTATTCCCTTCTGTAGAGTCGCATTATACAGGGGGGGCACCAGTCAAAGACTGTATTTAGACCCTAAATTATCAATTAAAAAAATGTATAATATCTTTCTCGAAAGTCTAGTTGAAATTCAAAAGCCAGTCAGCCGTTGGGCGTACAGGCAAATTTTTGGCAATGACTATAAATACTCTTTTTTCGTTCCTAAAAAGGATGAATGTGCAGCATGTAGTAAATATAATATGGCAGATGCACCAAAAAAAAATCAAGATTTAGAACTAGAATATTCAATGTACATAATAAAGAAGAATGAATGCCATGAAGCAAAAAAATACAGATAAAAAGTTATCTCAAAATGACAAGATTAAAACAGCAACATTCGACCTTCAAAGTGTGCTGCAACTCCCTCACTCCCCATTATCCCTATTTTACTATTGTCGAAAATTGTGTGTATACAATTTAACCGCTTATGAAGGAGATGATGAGCACGTATATTGCTGAACGAAATTGGATCTGTTCTGTAAAAGTATATTACAAACTTACTCTTCACAGTTCTGAAAATATCATTGTTTACAGACCCTTGTGGAGGTCAAAATAGAAACCAGCGTGGCTGCTGCACTTCTCTATACAGTGCACACTACGCACTTGGAATACATAGAACAGAAATTTTTGGAATCAGGACATAGTCATATGGAGTGCGACATAGTCAGCGATAGAGCATTCTAAAAAAACCGAACAGCTTTTATCATAAACGATTGCCTGGAAATATTTAGGTTAGCACGACAGAAAAGATTACAGAAGAAGCTGTATGCAGTACGAGAATTTAAATATACAGATTTCTATGATCTAAATAATTTGGCACGAATAATAATAAAAAATAGAACGAAAGATGAAGAGGGCTGCACAGTATCCTAGCTAAAAATTAAATGCTTCAAATTTGTAAAAGAACATGCCAATGTGATTTTTTTTAGATATGACCGTTCATCGCCGTATAAAAAATTAATTATTTCTTGTGGTCCAGATTCGGAATATTTCAGAAATAAAGTTCAAATCTCTTTATAACGTTTTACTCCCAATTTCAACTTTGAAGAAACGAGATCTACTCAAACTTTGCAACGAAAATCTCATATCAGATAGAGTTCATCATTAATATAAAAATTTACCAATAAGTACCTCTACAAATGACAACATGCCAGAACCCAATTTTGATGAGGAATCAGAAGATTCAACATTAGACATTCATCCTTAAAATAAACCTTAAATATTGTTAAAATAAGTTTTTTTGTTGTATTTTGTTTTACTGTGTTAAATTTTACAGGAATTTATTATAATTTTTAATAGTAAACGAAATAACATTTTTAATCACTTCCTATCTAGTTACTCTATCCCTAAGTAACAATCGGGAGTATAATAGTTAGGAGGTAAAATTCAATAAGTACATGTATCTTTATAATTTCAAAATTGTTGAGTTCTGATTATTTTTTTCAAAACAGAATAGTAAAGTAACACCTAACCTCCATAAATAATAACACTTCTATCTATAATAATCATAAATAAAATTATAAAGCGAAAAATGAACAAAATGTTGATTATCTCTGTTGTACTTATTTTGCAGTTAGTGAGTTTTACCTCTATACAGGGTGAGTCATGAGGAACTTTACATACTTCTACCATATGTAGAGTCCCTCAGGGAGCATATCATGTGGCCACTAAAAAATGTCAACTCCTCTTCTTTATTAATTAACAGGGTGATTTGTGTAATTGACCATTTATTTCATTTTACTGTAGTGTTTATACGGCTCATTTGATTTTTTAATTTTTGCATGATACAGTACACTACTATCAAGCATTCGACTGGTATTAGCTAAACTAAAAAATTCCAGGACTGGCTTTGGAAAAATTAATTTAGGGATTCGTATTAAATATTACACCCTGTATATATATTTTTTAAAATGCAATAAGTGATTTTCAAACTACATAAATAGCCAATGAAAACGACATATGCGACAATGTTGTCGCACTTTTATTAAATTTTTAGTGAACGATCAAATCTTACCAAAAATAGAACAACCATAATGAAGTATCAAATTATAAGGTAATTAATTTAAACAAATGTTATAAATTTCAAACATTTTAATTGAAATGATAAACTGAGTCACTGCACAACAAAAAACAGTAACTACTAACAATAACGAAGAACAATTAAAAAAAAACTAAAAATATGTACATAGTTATGATAAACCCATAAATTAGAACTGGAAAAGATACAATAATGGTAACAAAATAAAAATAATTCAAAATAGATTTTCGAAATGGAACCCTGCAGCCTGTACACATTTTTGTTGCCGAATTGTTAATTGACGTATTGAATTACGGATACTCTGGGGATCGTTTCTAATAGTATTACAACAATGTATAATTCTATCAATTAATTGTTGTCGGTTATTAATATTCACTGCGTAAACTAGTTGCTTCAATCGTCCCCAAATATGGTAATCAACGGGATTGAAATCAGGGGATCTTGAAGGCCACGAAATAGGACCTGCACGTCCTATCCACCTGTTGCCATAAACATTATTGAGATGTTGTCTCACTGCCAGTAAAAAGTGTGGGGGTGCCCCATCATGCTGAAAATACATCCCTCGGATAGCAACGTTCGCGTTGGCAAGCAAATTCGGCAAAATATTTTGTAGAAAGTTCAAATAGACCTGCCCTGTTAAAGGACCATCAAAAAAGTGAGGACCTACTAATTGGTTATTTATGACACCAATCCACACGTTAACCGAAAACCTTAACTGAGAACGACGTTCTCGAATAGCATGGGGATTTTCTTCTGCCCACACATGTGAATTTCGTGAATTATTTATCCCGTCTCTGGTAAATTGGGCTTCATCTGTAAATAGTGTCCTGTATAGCGTTGGTCGATTATTGTTAATCCATCTACAAAATTCCAACCTATCGATCTCATCTCCAGCATGTAGTCGCTGAACCATTTGAATGTGATATGGGTATAGATTATTTTTTTGTAAGACTCTACTTACTTTTGATTGAGTAACATTGAGTTCTCGACTTACTTGTCTAGTGCTTATTGTAGGGTTCATAGTAACGGCGTCCATAATGTCATCTTCCTGCGCTTCATCTACATGTCGCTCTGTTGTTCCACTAGGAAAAGTGCCATTTTCTCGCAAATAATTAAAAACTGACCCAAATGTTGGATGACTGGGAGTTCGACGATTAGGAAATCTCCTGCGATATTCTCTACTAGCAGCCCTACCATTCCCATTACAGAATCCATAAACAAATATTATGTCTGCATATTCTGTGGTCGAAAACTGATGTGGCATTTTGAACGAAAGTAACAAAAGCTCTACCAAAACTAACACAATGTACTTAACGTAGATATGACAGAAGAAATATGTATTCTTGTACACATAAATAACAATTGATAATGACAAAGACAATGGGTATAAAATATCAAGAAACGTCAAACGGTCAACGCCAACCTTCATTTTAAACTTTTTTAGATTTATTTTTATTTAGTACAGTTGATGCAATGTATTATTATTTGACATAAAATTTTAATCATTTACAATCAACAAAAACTAACACATACAAGAGGTTTGACTTTTTAATCAATTTAATTTATTATTTATCGAAAATAATGCCCCAATACGATCTATGAGTAAAAATTTAAAATTGAAAAACAATTGATTCTATCGTAGAGATAATACAAAGTGACAGTAAAGATGTTAATTTTCTACGTATTAGATTATGTTGTAGGAACTCATTTTAATTAAAATGTTTGAAATTTATAACATTTGTTTAAATTAATACCTTATAATTTGATACTTCATTATGGTTGTTCTATTTTTGGTAAGATTTGATCGTTCACTAAAAATTTAATAAAAGTGCGACAACATTGTCGCATATGTCGTTTTCATTGGCTATTTATGTAGTTTGAAAATCACTTATTGCATTTTAGAAAAAATATATACAGGGTGTAATATTTAATACGAATCCCTAAATTAATTTTTCCAAAGCCAGTCCTGGAATTTTTTAGTTTAGCTAATACCAGTCGAATGCTTGATAGTATGTACTGTATCATGCAAAAATTAAAAAAATCAAATGAGCCGTATAAACACTACAGTAAAATGAAATAAATGGTCAATTACACAAATCACCCTGTTAATTAATAAGAAGAGGAGTTGACATTTTTTAGTGGCCACATGATATGCTCCCTGAGGGACTCTACATATGGTAGAAGTATGTAAAGTTCCTCATGATTCGCCCTGTATAGACGATATTGTAGTAAATATATTTTTAAAGAAAGCAGAAAAAACTGTTTCCGCCCTTGTGAAACGATCTTGACACCCTGTATATTGTTACAATACTTACTTGTCAGCATTTTAGTCACAGACGGAGCTACATTAATTTCACAGATTAATTCGAAAGTAGTCACTTGGTAGCATTTAATAATGGCTGAATTCTGAAGTGATAACCACACTCCGTTTCCACTAAGAACTATACACGTAATTGACTTGTTACTATCATTATTAATCACAAAACTGTTCTCAACTGCTAGGGAATGGCCATCGAATATTTTCACGCTACTGCCACATCCGCACCAGAGTTTTCCATTATAAGGTACTATTTTGGAAACTGGAGAACTTAAAGATCCCACTGTACATACCGCTGAACTAGATGAGTTCCAAGTCCCAGCTGAAAACAATCACTTTTAGTATAGATAATAGTTGCTGTATATAATAAATAAAAAAATATGTAATTCTAATGCAAATTAGTTGTTTCAAAAAAGGAGCAAACCAAAATCTAAGCAAATAGTATCAAACTATGGCTTAGTAATCGTTTAGTCATAATTTCGTTTTTACAAGTGGTTTTGGGATTAAGTTAAATAAATACGTTGTGGAAATGGATTATCTTAGAAGGTCATGTCGAGTATCGAGAATGGAAAGAATCAGGAATGAGGAAATACGAAACCGTACAGGAATTAGAGATACTCTTTCAGATAGAATACAAGGAAGGCAATTACAATGGTATGGTCACGTGATGAGAATGGAGGAGGAGCGGTGGCCAAAGAAAGCCTTAATGTATGTTCCGCCAGAAAGAAGGAAAAGGGGAAGACCACCAAATTCCTGGAGAAGAGAAATTACAAAAACAATGCAATCTAGAGGCTTAGAAGAGGGAGATTGGAGAGATAGGAAAAGATGGAGGCTGAAATGCGGAAAGCGGCAATCGCCGTAGGACCCCCGTTATATGATGATGATGAAATACAGTTTTGGTTTATAAGTATCTTATACGAAATCTATGGCGAAAGTATCTGACCTTTGTTATATAACTTCGCGCTAAACTTTTCCTGCGTTATTTGTGGAGTATAAGCGTTATCAGTAACTCTCACGAACTTACTCTATACTGCAGTTACCAATGAAAATTGTGTAATAGTATGCTTTTGTTTATGAGATAAATCATCATCACCCAGCCCTTTACGTCCACTGCTGGACATAGGCCTCCCTCATTTTTGTCCATTGTGCTCTGTCTTGAGCACTTTTCATCCAATTTCTTGACATGTTCTTGAGATCGTCAGTCCAACGTAGTAGGGGTCTTCCTCTACTTCTTTTGTCTAACCTCGGCCTCCACTCAAGCAATCTCTTCGTCCACCTTTCATCACTGATTCGGGCGACGTGTCCGGCCCAGTTCCATTTCAGTGTGGCAATTCGGGAAATTACATCGTAACTCCTGTTCTTCGTCTTAAGTCTTCATTTCTAACTCGGTCACGAAGCGATATACTCAGCATTGATCTTTCCATTTTCCTCTGAGCTATTTGCAGCGTTTTAGAACTTGTAGCTGTCAATGTCAAAGTTTCGGCACCATAGGTCATCACAGGCAACACACATTGGTCAAATGTTTTACGTTTTAAAGAAATTGGTATATCGCTTTTAAAGATGTCTTTGAGTTTTCCATAGGCTGCCCATGCTAGGTTTATTCTTCTTCGTAGTTCGCATGTCTCTTGTGATCTTTATTTCGTGTCCAAGATATATGTATTTTTCCACCAGCTCTACTTCGTTGTCCCCAATATTGATATTTCCGCTAGGTACACTTCCCGTCATATAAAACTGGTACACTTTTTTTCCCAATGTAAACCTGTGTTCAGAAATCAATTCGTTGTTGCCATTACAGATAACGGAATTGCACTAAATCTAAATAAAAAAATAACGTTCAAAAATGTATAAAATTTTTAGATAGGTATTATTTTTATCATTACCAAAAAAAACTGAATCTAAGAAATTAAATAAGCAGAGATAGGCTTGAGTTATTATCCAAAATGTTTGAAGGATCTTTAAACCTAGGATATTGGCACAGGGAACATTGGAATGCATCTACTGTAATTTTATACTTCAATTACCTACCGAACTCAAACTGTATTTGTGTCAATAAGTTTTGTAACAGGCAAACTACCAAGATTAATTTATTATTTATTAAAAGAACGATAAAAAATGTGAAAAACTAACATTATACTTTATCCTACGTATTATATACTAGAAAATATTCGGTGCGAAAAAACGCTTTTCAAAACGTAACAGTTACAATCCAATATCTCATTGTAATGTTTTATTATAATAATTTGAAGTTTGTCTAGATTGATTATCTGTCATTATTTTTGAATTGAAATATTTTCATAAATTGTTATAAAACACAAATCAATGTATGGGTACTTAATTGAGATGATGGAAAATTACAAAATTAATATGAGAATTTTTTAGGATGCATGTTTAAACAAATTTAATGTGACTGACTGATCGAGAATGCTCGATAATGTTTTAGTTTTTAGTATACTCAAAACTGGCGGTCTGTCACACAGCCTTGCTTTTAGCTGGTTTTATATAATATTTTCGTTGAACTGGCAACGGTGCCCTAGAAATCAGAATGACACATGTGACAAGACCAACGTACACAACTTAAAAAACACGATTTTTGATTATAAGAGTTGTACCAGTTTTTTATGACGGGAACGGTACTAGGTTTGAGATGAATTTTGTTTTGAAGATGTTTATTTTAAGGTTGATTCTTTGCTGACTACTATTGTTTTAATTTTCTGAGATGATATTGTCATATTAAAGTCTTTTGCTCTTATGTTAAATCTGTGGACCAGTCTTTGCAGACTATCTTCATCTTGGGCTATCAATATTGCGTCGTCTGCGTAACAGAGTATTTTTATTTCTTTGTTTCCCATTCTGTATCCTCTTCCTTTGTTAACGCTTTTGATGATTTCATCCCTGATTAAATTGAAGAGCATGGGGCTCAATGAATCCCTTGTATTATTCCGCTGCCTATTTCTATAGGTTCTGTAAGTTGTCCATCTATTCTGACTTCCATTTTGTTGTTTTGGTAGATGTTTTCGATAGTTTTTATAATATTTAAGGGAACTTCTTCATTATACAGAAGATGGATTATATTTTCGAATACAAAACTGTTACGTAGAATAATATTACATGAAAGTTTTGGTGATGTTTGCATAAGTTATCTCTTGAGTGAACTTAAGAGATTCAATGTTGAATTATGGAACTATATTATATCAAAAACTGAATAAAATAGCATACTAACTTTTGTAAATAGCTTACCAGAATCTCTGTCATATACAGTAATATCTCCGTTTGCTAATGATACATAAACCCTGTTATCCAGATATCTGTAAGAAATAAATAAATAAAAAAACTAAATGGAACGGGCTTACAATTGTTAATAAAATTATTATCCTTTACAAATGAGAAAATAATTACGTGTAAAAAGTATTGATTTTATTCAATTTATAGAATAGAATTTATAGAAGTTATTTATAGAAGCCAGGTCATTTATTTATAGAACCCCTTTCAATTTAGAAACCAAATATTGCCGCTTTTATGAAAGATTCCGAATTTTCTGGATTATCTTTTATTTTTTTTTTAAACTGTTTTCTTGTGGCCTGTCCAAATAATATATTTATATGGGATTAAGCCTCAATTCATTTTATCTTTGTTTTTAACGTTTCGATTTCCATTCCGGAAAGTTGATATTCATTTTCTCGTTTCAGGTCAAAATAAATTTTAACATGTCGTAAACGACATCAAAAACCGATAAAGTCCTTATAACTCTGCTTCGGAATATTATGGCGTTCCAAGAAGCTTTATATTCAACTGAATACATGGAAGAAAAACGTCATTGGAAACCCTCGGCAGTGGTCTACATAATGCCGAATTAAAAGAAGTTGAGCATGATCTTCAAACACTTCCACTCCCTTCGAGCAAAACAAACCCGATCAAGATTTGTATGAATCGAAAACCTCGATTATCAAGAAACCATGTTTACAAAGTTTACAAAATGGACTTCTCATTCATTTGTTGTCGCACATACAACGAATTGTAAATGAAAATTCATTTGATCAAATGCCTGAACTTTTTTTTAACTGCGACGAGTCTGGCTTTTGTACGGACACCTCAAAAATTAAGGCCGTTGGCATTGACAAAAAATATAAAGCGCTTTATCAAGGTATTCGTGGCACAGGTCGTGAAAATCTATGATTCAACTGTTGCCTTATCACCGCTGGTTCTCATTTACCACCTCACTTAATGTTTTCAAGAAGTACAATATTGCCAAGATGGACTTCAGCTGGTTTAGATTTTCCAGCGAATCACATACTCAGCATCTCACTGCCATTTATAGTTATACGTCTAGGGTCATCTGTGTTTGTCATTGTTTTTGTTTTTGTGATATTTATTTTTAGGCCGAAGTATTGGGAGCTGTCTGTGAGTTCCTTCATCATAATTTATAATTTCTCGAATGTGCTCGCTACAATCACGACGTCGTCAGCGAATCTGAGGTGGTTTAACTTGTTGCGATTAAAGCTGATGCCATACGTTGACCAATTTCTAGTTTTGAAGACGTCTTCTAGAGCTAGATTAAAAAGCTTGGGAGATATTACGTCGACTTGTCTATCTTCTCTATTAATGGAGATGCGATTTGTATTTTCATCTAGTTGTATTATCAGAGATACTTCTATACTACTACTTGTCGGTTTATAACGTTCTCCGCCGTTTTCCGACTTCCAATCGCCACTTAGTCCGGTTGTTCCATAGGTCTTCTTCTATGGCCCTCTCTCTCAGTTCTTTATTTATTCCTTCGCTCCAACTTTTTCTCGGTCTACCTCGTTTTCTCTTTCCTTCTGGTTGCCATTTTAATATTTCTTTTGGTATTCGTTGTTCATCCATTCTTTGTATGTGTCCGAACCAGATAAGTTGTTTTGTTGTTAGGTCATCTGTGATTGTTCGTTTGATTCCCATTATTTCTCTAATGCGTTCGTTGGTAATCCTTTCTCTTCTAGATCTTCCTGCGGCTCTTCTCCAAAAATCCATTTCCGTCGCTTTCAGCGTTGCCAGTGTTCTTTCTTTCAGTGGCCATACCTCACAGCTGTATAAAGTGATACTTTTTACTATAGTCTCATATATCCTCTTTTTATTTTCTTTGCTGATGGATTGGTCCCATAAAATGCTGTTTAACATTGTGATGGCTTTTCTCCCTGACGTATTTCTCTCTCTTATGGCTTTGTCTAATGTTCCATCTTGTGAAATAGTGATACCTAGATATTTGTAGTCACAGCAGTGCTTTATCGTGGTGTTATCGTCTAATATGAGATCTTTTTGTTCTACTCCAATGCACAGGTATTCGGTTTTCTTTTTATTTACTTCTAGACCCCATATATCATACTCTTCAATTAATTTTCGTGCCATATAGTTTAAATCGTCATAATCTTGAGCCATTATTACTTGATCGTCTGCAAAGTTGAGCGTATATACCATAGTGTTGGTGAGCGGTATCCCATTGTCCTGCATTTTTGTTTCCATCTTTTTAAAGCACTTTTGAGGTATATTTTAAATAAAGTGGGGGACAAACAACATTCTTACTTTAATCCTTTTGATGTTATAAATCCTGTTGTTATTTGTGTTGGCTGTATAATTTTGACGGCTTTGATTAATTCTATATTAATATTCGTATTTCCATTGATTGTCACAGCTTCTTCAGTGGAACGCTGTCGTAGGCTTTCCGTAGGTCGACAAACAACATATGAATCTCTTGATTCCGTGCCATCTTTTTTTCTATTATCTGGGTTAAAGAGAAAATGTGGTCAATAGTGGATCAACCTGTACGAAATCCTGCTTGTTCTTCTGCTTCATAATCTAAGTATTCTCTCTCGATTCGGTTCTTTAAAACCTTTCCATATATTCGACTCATAGATCCGGTTACAGCTATTCCTCGGTAATTTTCACAATTATTTTTATCACCCTTTTTATGTATAGTACTGAGGTATGATATCTTCCATTCCGTAGGGATTTCGCTTGTGTTTATGCATTCTTGAAATAGTTGTCGAAGACATTCGTACAATTTGTTCGTTCCGTACTTAAACAATTCTCCGGGTATATCCCCTGGTCCGGGTGCTTTGTTCCTCTTCAGCTGTTTACATACATTTTTAATTTCCTCTGTTGTTAATCTTATTGGCGAGCCGACTATTGAAATTCTATCTTGGTTTTGATTTCTATGTTCTTGAAATTCGACTCTATTCTCTACCAAAAGTTCTTTGAAATACTCTTCCCAGTCTTCAGGTTTTATGCTCTGTATTACTTCTTTATTCTTTTCTTTTCTCAATTTTTTTATCAGTTTCCAGCTTTCTGTGCTTCTGGTTCCTCCTAGATAAGTATTTATTCGTTGGCAGTTTCTTTCCCAAGACTCGTTCTTCTTAGAGATTTTCCTTCGTACTTCTGCTTGTTTTTCTTTATATTTTATTTTGTCTTGTAATGATTTGGAGCTTAAATATTGTTGGTATAGTTGTCTTTTACATTTTATTTCTTCCTCTATTTCGTTATCCCACCAGTATGGTTTGTTTACCTTGGGTTTTATGTAGTATCCCATTGCTTCAAATGCTGCTTCGTGTAAACAGTTTTTTATATGTTCATATAACTGGTCGATATTCTTAGGGGCGGGAATTTGTAGCTTCTCATCCAATCTATTTTTGAATAAGTCTTGGGTACTTTCTTCATCTAGGCTTCTGATGTTGTATCTTCGTTCCTGTATCTTTTCTGTCTTGTTTATGTCTATATGTGTTTCTCTCTGTTGTCTTCGGATTGGGAAGTGTATTTTTGAACGTAATAAATAGTGATCGCTACCGCATGTTGCGCTTCTCTGAACTCTTACATCTTGTACTCTCAGTCGGGTTTTTTGTTTTGTTACAATATAATCGATTATTGATTTTATGTTTCGTGTTTCCTGAATCCATGTATAGCTGTGTATCAGTTTATGTGGAAAGTATCCATTTAAGATTCTGAGTTGATTCTGGTTGCGTAAATCTATGAATCTTTCACCATTCTTGTTCTTGGTGTCTTCTCCGTATTTTCCTACTATTATACGTTTTCATATATATTATCTTTGGCGGAAGCCAGCCTGTTTAACCGGCTATTAATATTGTTGGTATACTTTTTGTTAAGGCAACCAATTGTTAATAACTCTCATAAACAGTTTGTATACTTGACTGACCAACGATATAGGTCTATAAGTCTTTAGGTCACATTTATTCTCTTTTTTGTCTATGAGTATTACTAGACTCTCGTTCTAATCTTAAAGGATTTTGCTATTATGGAGGAGACATCTTTAAATAGCTCTATTAGTATAGGGATTGTTACTGTCTTGCTTGTTTTCAAGAGCTCGGTAATTATACCATCGTGTCCTGGACCTTTATTATTTTTTAGCTCTTTTTTAAAGCTCTTTCTGTTTAGAATCCCTCTATATCTCTGATATGGTAGTATCTCTGATCCCACGTTTTATATTTTTCTGTTGACATTCTCTTTTGTTGATTCATTAGGCTGGTTTTGCGAGCTGTACACGGTTTTGTAGAAGTCTTCCATTATCTTTGTTATTTATACTAATACTTCTCTTCCTTATTATTGGTGTCTTTAATTTTGATAATTTTATGAACACCCAGTGTTGGTCTTAGACATTTTAGGCCTCTGTTGTGTTCAATGACTTGGTCTATTAAGTTCTCGTTCAATTTGTTTGTGTCCATCTAACTCACAAACTTTTTTCCTCTAAACGTGCCTATCTTATTATTAGTATCCTTAATATTGCAGCCCAAATAGCATATTTTTTCCACTCTTTCTAACGGTGTATCGTTAATTGTAATTTGGGCGTTTATGCCGGTGTTCTTACTAATGATCATTATTTTTGTCTTCTTGCAATTTAGTTTTAGGCCGTATTTGTTACATGCTTCTACAACGTTATCCATCATCCTTTGGAGCCCCTGCGCACTATCTGCCAGCAACACTGTATCGTCTGCATATCTAATGTTGTTTATAAGTTGGCCATTTACAGCAATCCCATCTTCTGATTTGTCCAAGGCCTCTCTAAAGATGTTTTCAGAGTATATGTTAAATAATGCCGGTGACAATATGCAACCCTGTCTAACTCCTTTTCGACTGTGAAGATCTCGGACAGTTCATTTTCTAATCGTACTGTTGCTTTTTGTTGGAGATATAAGTTTGAGATCAGTCTTATATCCTTACCATCGAGTCCTGATGTTTTTAGGATATCGATTAGTTTCCCATGTGGGACTTTATCAAATGCCTTCTCGAAATCAATGAAACATGCATACACATCGCAGTTGACATCCCTGGCTCTCTGTATTAGAACTTGCAAACTAAAAAGTGCTTCCCTCGTTCCGAGTCCTGCTCTGAATCCAAATTGAACTTCACTCAGGTGGTCTTCTAATTTGGTGTATATGCGCGAGTGAATGATAGTAAGAAGTACTTTAAGTACAGACTTTAGTTCTCTAAAAACAAAATGGAATAGAGTATTATTCGCAGAAATAAAAAATGTTTGGGTATTACTAAACAAAACAAAACGTCGAAAATAGTACATTGTTTACCGGGTAGGAAAAGCTTAACATTCCTGGACGACTGTGAAGATTGCTAAGTCGAGGCGCAAGCCGAGACTTAGCAACACAGAGTCCAGGAATGTGGCTTTTCCTACGAGGTAAACATACTATTTTTCCGCAAATCGTTTAAAATTCGACAGATATTGATTGATTTAAAAAAAAACGCGATAATTTTATTCCCAAATAAATGGTGCTTTGAAATTCCTAATAAAATTACTTGGGTTACTATGGAAACGTATTGAGGTTGAATTGTCAAACTTGACGCTTATAAATTTAATTGCTGGTGTTCTCGAAAGTAAAATGATAAGTGATGATGAAATTTCCATTCCTGGGACTCCTCCAGAGCTGGTTGAGGCAGTGAATACTGCTTCATTAGAATTATTGCCAAAGAAATCAAGAGAAAAGTACGAAAATGCATACAGACGTTTTATGGATTATCGCATGAGTAAAAATACGAGTTCTTTCTCAGAAAATGTTGTAATGGCATACTTCCTAGACCTTTGTTTAAAGATGAAATCTTCAACATTATGGGCCAATTATTCAATGCTGAAGTCAACCCTTGCACTTAAACACAATGTAGATATATCTACATACTCAAAACTTCGTTCTTTATTGAAACGGCAAGCTCAAGGTTATAGGGCAAAGAAATCTAAGATTTTAACGAAGGAAGAAATTGAAAAATTTATCCAGGAAGCTCCAGATAAAGAAAATTTAATGATTAAGGTAATTTACAAGGTTTTAATTTCTATTTAGATTATAGCTTTATTTATTTTTTAGGTGGCTGTAATATTTGGTATTTCTGGGGCCTGTAGAATGGATGAGTTAGTCCGAATGACTGTACACGATATAGAAGACTTAGAATCTAAGCTTTTAATCAGCATACCTGATTCGAAAACCAACAAACCAAGATCATTTGTAATTAATCAGATCTACTTGAATGTTTATCGAAAGTATGTTTCGTTAAGACCAGAAAATATGAACAGTGACCGATTTTTCTTTAAATATCAAAGCGGAAAGGGTTGTAGACAAGTGGTAGGAATTCATCAATTTAGAAAAATGCCCAAAATAATTGCTACTTATTTGAACTTGGTAAATCCGACAGAATATACTGGTCACTGCTTTCGTCGGTCTTCTGCAACAATATTGGTTGACTCTGGTGCCGACATAACTAGTTTAAAGAGGCATGGCGGATGGAAGTCATCAAACGTTGCTGAAGGATATATCGAAGAATCGCTTAACAATAAGGTTGAGGTGGCAAATAAAATTTTCACAGTACAAAATATTCAACAAAATGACACTTCCACCCTGCATGTTGTCCAAAATGTTTCTCATAGTTCTAAGAGTGTTCCTCCAATGTTCAATAATTGTACTAACTGTCAAATTACTGTAAATATAACAAATTGATCTTAAAAATGTATTCAGCAATGACTTGATGTTTTCAAAATATAAATTAATTCCTTATAAGCAATGTGTTTTCTATCATTTATGTAGAACACTAACAACTGTACGGAAATATCATTTCCTTACAGTAAGGAAATGACATTTCCTTACAGTAAGGAAGTCCTGACTTTTTCTTCAAGAAATTTTGACAGGAATGTCAAAATTTCCTGGCGATTTGCGGAAAAAGATTTTTCTACTGCTATCAGAGACTTATCGGTAAAATATATTACGCCGAATATCATTGATCTGCGATTTTTTGTATAAAGTATAAATATAGCCTGATATTGGGTTAAATGGAAATATTTAAATTGAATATAAAAAAAACTATAGATCACTTGCTTTACCTAAAAATGTGTTGAATAATAATTTCCTGAAGGGTTATCTATGCTTATTCTCATAAAAATATACGAAACATCTAATTCCAATTATTGTTCCCAAAATATCTTAACATATTTGAAATTGAAGTAAGTTTCCACCATTACCCTTACTGGCCTTATATTAATACTGATGTAGTGCTTTAAATTTAATGTTCCCAAAAATACATATACTTACATTATACTTAAAATAGAAGCTCCTAATTGTAATTTTCCTTTATTTTTCTTAATCCTAATGTTGTCACTACAGTTGTATATGTATATACAACCGTCTTCAGTGCCCAACCACATGGTCGATTGATAATTGTCCGCTTCATCATTTTCTACACTACACACTTCTGAATCTACTATATGTTGGGGTTGTTCGTTTATTTCATTATCACAGTTTTCGTCTTCATCACTCGATGAACTGCTATCGAAATTCATCATCTTATGTTCCTTTGGTTCTCCTCCCACCTTTTTATTCCCATTTGTCGATGTTCTAAAAATAAGTTATTCTTTTCACATTTTCAAATCTGTACTTTAAACTTTTAATGAAAAAGCTAAATAACAAAGAGAAGTGATATATAAAGTTGACATGTGAAAGGAGGAAGTATGTATAAAGTAAGTTAGTATTACAAAATTAGCCAGAAATACTAACAGATATACAGTTCACCAAAAATAGCTGAAAGTCTGAAAATAACCACGCCCATGATGCGCATTCATAATCCGATTACCGTTTGTGA